GAGGGCAGGCTACGCAGCAGGGGGGGGGTGATCAAACGTGAGGGAAGGGGCGACGACAGGGGTGAAGGCAGGGGGGGGGGGTGATCAAACGTGAGGGAAGGGGCGACGACAGGGGTGAAGGCAGGCGATGTCGCGGGGGAGGGGGACGACGACGACGCATTGGTGAACAGGCTGCGCCAGCGGAATACGCGGGAAGGAATGGAGGCGGCGACGAAGCTGTGGGTGGATGACCTCCGCTTCTGGAACGAGAGGGAGGGATTTGCCATCATCAGGTTGATCGCGGAGGCGCGCGGTTATCTTGTGGCTGTGGCGCGGGGAGAGCAGCCTCCGCCCATTCGACGCAGCATCGTCTTGCCTCACAACAGCATCCCGCACCACAAGATCGTGGACGAGTCGGAGTTAAACGCTGCGAAGGAGAGGGCGCTGAAGGTTCAGGGGATCGCTTTGCGGGTGATACACGGTGGGTCTTCAAGTCTTAGAACAGGCAAAGGGGGTACAATGCGGCGTACCAGTACGCACTCAACCACGCGGCCACCGACATCGCTCGCGCGATGTGGATGGGGGAGGACTGGCGTTATTGTGTGAGTCCGATGGTCGTCCACCACATGCTCGACATGGATATGAAGCTGCCTTTGTGGTTCGTGGGCGCTGACGTCGAAGACAAGCACGAGGACGACGGCTTGGCGGCTTATCAGGAGGCGAGCATCCAGCGACTGGTGGGGGCTTTCACGAGCGCCGTGATCATCGCGGAGGCGACGGACGGCGGGCGTGTATCGCACGAAAGGTTGAAGACCATGGCCGACGTGATATGGATGATGCTCGCGGCGACCATGTGGCTCATGCGGATGGCGGGTGACGATCATCGTGCGCATTACGACGCCTGGGTCTTTGTCCAACTCACAGTGAAGCCGACGCTCGTCACATCCATGCATCGCTGCTTCGACGCGCGTCGGCACATCGTGCAAGCTGCGACCGTAATCACCGACAAGTTGGCGAGTCCCCCATCACTTTGATCGACCCTCCAATGTATGTTCCCGACTGGGCGTCCATCGGTGTGAAGTTCTTACACGACGCCACGCTGTCTTCCCTGATGGAGGCGAAGAAGGTGGATTGGCTGGGCACAGGCCCCCCGGAAGACGAAGACGACGGGAAAGGCGACGAACAGGGAAGCGGGGGGGGTCGATGACGCCTTTCAGTCGTCTATGTCGTTTTTCCTCGCGTGATGCTGCTCTGCCGTGGCTTGTTTTTCGACGACAGACCAACCATCATCCCCTTTCTGTACATACATCGTGGCTGATAGTCCGATTTCGTTGCCTAGGAGCTTTCGGTGGCGAAGATGGTAAAGAAGGGAAAGATGGTAGAAAGTAGAATGGAAGGGGGGGGGGGGGGGGGGGGGGGGGGGGGGGGGGGGGGGGGGGGGGGGGGGGGATGGTTGGGGGGTTGGATATCGTTGATTGGTAGACGACGTGCGTTCGTGGTTGATCGCCGCGGCGGACAGGTCACCGTGGGGGTGTGTAATTATCGTATGTTTTTGTTATGGTTTACTTTTTTTTTTTTTTTCTGTTATCTGTTTCGGGTCTTAAGAAATCGTTGTTCGCGTCTGTAACAACCAACATGTGACACCTGTCATTGGTATTGATAACGGCTCTACTTCAGGAGGTTGTCGCTTCTTGTGTTCGTTGCTTTTCATGATGTCTGAACGATGTTGTCGTTGATACCCGGGGAGCTGCCACGACGTGAGGATCGTCCACCTGTCCAGTTTGTGGGCGCGTGCGGAGGCAGGGGAGCTTTTCATTGGGCCACCTGTTATGCTGCCTTTCGTTGTGCTAACAAACGGCTATCTACTGGGCGACAATGGTTATCCCCCCTCGGAATGGGTAGTCCCTACGGCGGTGTATCACAGCACCCGTCGGAGATTCGGTTTGACAACAAGCAGAAGACGGCGAGGGGAGCAGTCGAGAGGGCTTTCGACAGATTGAAGGGGATGTGGAGGTTGTTCCTTCGCTCCCACAAGATGAACATGAAGACGTTGCCGCAGCAATTCGTCGCCATCTGCATTCTGCACAACATACTCATCGACGCGGGCATCCCGTTCGACGACATTTTGCTGTGGGAGGTCGGGCTGGACGGTGTTCGTCGCAGGGTGGACCTTGGGATGCACCGCCTGTTGAGGCAGATGTGTATGGAGTCGTCGACGGGGGATGCGCTGATCCTGTGGACTCCTTTGCGATCCCTTTTCATTTGCATTCACGATTGTCAGGGCTGCACCGACATGGAAAGTGGTGACGGATGTATGATTCAACAAATGCTTTATCACAGATTGATGGATTTTCACACAACCCATTCCAAATGCGAGCACAGACGAAGGCAATAAAAATGACACACACACAACTTCTCTCTCTTTAACAAAACACTTGTCATTCGACACGAACACGGAGAACAACCTCGACAACATCAAAAAAAAAATTACAAGATATGTTATCTTAATGCTGTCACCCCCGGCAACAGCACAACACGTCACAGTCACGATGTAACAGGCCTTGAAGGCAACTTCGATCCCGACCAGCCTAAAAAAAAAAAACACACAGCCGGAAATGGCCTCCATCACTCACACCCGTCACTGACGGTGGCACCACACTACAAATCGTCGCAAAGAGCTACAACCACACGCGCATCACGAAACCCCCGCCGCCGACGAGATGGACTGTGCCATCGCCATAAACCCCACCCGGCGAAAACCTCCTAAGTGCGGCGCAATGTGGAAGTACAGGAAACTAAAGTGCGCCAGATAAGCCGCCGCATGCACGCCAACGCCCACCGACACAGGTAGCGGTCGATTAACACACACTCTCTCTCTCTCTCTCTGTCTCTCTCTCTCTCTCTGTCTCTCTCTCTCTCTCTCATTCTCTCTCTCTCTCTCTCTCTCTCTCTCTCACACACACACACACACACACACACACACACACACATCCAGCACTCGCAAGTTCAGATCGACGACCACCTGAGCCTGGATGGAGAAACGACGTTTTCCGTCGTAGTAGTCCTCTCCGGGGCAATTGGTTGGCTTGTCGATGAAGATGTGCGTACAATCGATGTAGGCATGGCAGTTGGGGAAACCCTTGTCAGCGAAAGCGCGCAAGACGACCACCTTTTGCAGCCCCGTTGGCCACGATATCTTGTCGCGGTACGCACTCAGCAACGCCGAAGTAACATCTTGCACAACCACCAACCCAGACTTTCTGCCAATGCCGAAGCTGCACGTCCCGCTCTCGTACGTCTCCCCCGACGCCCATCTGTACAAAGCGAACGCTACGACGAGGTCAGGCTGGAGGGGCTCCCTATAAAATGTGACACGCCGTTGAAGGAAGGGAGACAGAGTTTCCGCTATCTCCCGGAACACCCGTGGCGACATGCGCAACTTGTCCTTGAAGTAGTCTTCCGTCGCGTCGTCGCATTGCCGCAGATCCTCCCACACCCCCCCTGTTCGACGCTTCATCCACCACCTCGGCGTCGCTCTGGGAAACGCTCCACACCCCATGGCATAGCACACCTGAAGGACAGCGTCGCAAATGGCACCACTGCCCTCTTCGTCCACATGAATGGACTGCAACGTCTTCTTTCGGCATGCGCGAATGGCTGCTCTCATCCTCCCCTCCGTCCTCTGCAATTGACACCTGATGAGTATCATGTTCACGGCCGCTGCCACAGCCGCCCTCTCCGCCTTGCTGAGTGTGTCATGAACCGCGTCCCCGTCCACGTCCATCGCTCGTCCTCACCAAGTGAAGAAGGCTCGACTTCGGTGGGAACAACAGCAATGGCGCGTCGTGAAAACCCGACTGTACGGCGTGCATGTCGACGACGAAGATGCGCGTAGCAAAGCACACTACGTTGGCGATCGTGTGACGGCGGCCGTGCTGCTTCGGACGTATTCATGGACGTTCAGCGTGCCAGCAGATGCCACGAAGCCGCCACCCGGTACAGAAACAGTCTCGCCGACGAACGTTGCTGCCGTCAGCCGTAAGGGACACACGCGCCGCCGTCATTCGCTTACTGGGATTCGAATTTCGAAATTCGAATCGGGGACTGCGCGCCGTTTTCGTAGCCTTTTTTTTTCCGCCGCGTAAATTTGAATTCGCCGCCCACAGCTCCTAGACCAAGGGCGACGCCACGGACACAACCCGCTGGACCAACCTCGCCAACCCCCCAGCGTCCGCGTGTCGAAATATGCAACTAGCCGCGGGAGCACCCGAGGAATCGTCCTCGGGGAACATTTCCGAGGATGAGTGGAACGAAGGCGGGAATTTCCTCGGGCGACTCCAAGGAATCGTCCTCGGGCCCCGAGGATGCCCCGAGGAGTGTGGAATGAGCCCCTTAGTCCCCCTCGCTATTATGAAAGTATGGGTGACTTCGGCGCGTTAGGGTTGCTCTCAGAGCGGTTTCAATTAATGATTTTATCTCCAGAGAATGCATCTACTGATAAACCTTTTCCTCGACATGATAGAGGAAAACCTTGTTGTCTTTGTTTTTCAATACTAGACTTGTACGTTCTTGGTTGTTTTAGTGGATGTGGAATTGTTATTCCAAATTTGGAGTGCGATTCGTTGGTTTGGTTTCTTTACTGCAGTATTAGGATTTGTTAATTTGATCTCGTATTTTCTCTTTTTGTTTACAATTAAACTCCTAATTGGTGGGATCTGCGTAGCCGAGTTAGGCAAACGTTTTATCAATTTTGAAGTTCTGCTAGGTTTATTGGTTTTCTCGTTTGCTGTTTTTGTCGCCGCTTTAGGCGTGTTTGTTACTTGTTGTGAGATTAGGTTACGAGTTTTAATGTTCATTTTCGGTTTTCTTTCAGTTGTTTGGTTGGTTGTGAAGTGGAAGATGGACATGGGAAGGTCGCTCTGCGAAGACCCCGTCATGGTGGGCGGCGGGGTTTTTTGGGGGTTGACGCTGACTGGGGGAGCACTTTGTCTTAAATCGTGAGGAGGAGGGTGGGTTTGCAGGTTCTTTTGACCCTTGCCGCGCGGGTGGTAGGGCATTCGTGCAGGTTTGTTGATATTTTGGAATTGCGTTTGTTTCTTCACAAGTGCTTTGGGTCTTTCCTGCCATCCTTTTTTTATGGATTGGAGAGCGTCGCTCCATACGATCTTCATCATGGAGGGAGGTGAAGACCCCATTCGGGGAGCGTACGTGCAGGGGGGTGCAGATTGCCCTAAAACGCGAGGAGGTGGGTGGGCTTTGCGGGGCCTTTGGCCCCTGCCGTGCGGGTGGTAGGGTATTTTTGAGGGTTGCTGATGCACCATCATGGAGGGAGTTGGTGTTTGAGGGTGGGCAATGTGGGGGCCGGAGTGATCTGCTTTGAATCGCGAGGAGGTGGGTGGGTATGCAGGGTCTGTGGTCACAGACCCCTGCCGTGCGGGTGGCAGGGCAGATCTCAGGGTTGGGTGTATTTCAATGGTGGTAGGCTTTGACTTTGTAGGGTTTGCTTTTGATGCTTTTTTAGGTAATTAGTGTTTTGCATGATGGGGATTTTGTTGTCTCGTTCATTTGTACTGTAGCTTTGGAATGGATCGAAATCATTTCTACGATGTGAGGGACGCCGGACCCGTTTTCCGGCTTTATAATCTGAAAGCGGCTGTCGTATGAACCAGGCCGGAGTGCCTGGATCATACGACACTCGGGCCGCCCTTTGAAACAAAAAAAAAATTAAAAAAAAAAARAAAGAAAGAAAGAAAGAAAGAAAGGGGAAATTATTTACCAAATTTAACATAAAATTTTAAATGAAAATATATACATACATCCACGTGGGCGCCCTTGTACGCAAGAGGTTCTGAACAGGGGGAGTTGTAAGGAAGAAGATTAAAAACGAATTTAAGGTTTTTTTGTTTTCCTTGGTTTTTTCGCTTTGGCGCTCTGATATTTTGTGACAATATATATACTAGGCTACCAGAGTGGCCCAGGAACCGGGACCCACTAGCATCGAGTAAATCGGTGTATGGCGGCCGTTTCTTTTAAAAAAAAACATGTAAAGAATCTTTTTTTTTTTTTGGAAATGCAAAGAAAACAAGGCCAACG